GTCGCGTCGCGTCGCGTCGCGTCGCGTCGCTCGCGATTTGCGCACTTTGTTTACGGGCGATTCCCCGCGCGCCGCTATTTGTCTTCCGTGTTTTAGCACACGTCCGCGGCGCATATGTTACGTTGCACGGCGCGCGGCGGCTGTGTGTATTTAAGGCGAATGCCGAATCGATGACCGCTTATTTTGCCCGCTTTTGAGCCCGCCCGCGCGGAATCCGCCTCCGCGCCGCGCTCCGCGCACGCACCGGGCAGAATCGGAGAAACAGCGGCACGGGCCAAGAGGAGGATGGCTCTCGACGTATCGCGTAGTTAAAAACGATCGACCGTGGAATGACACGCCGTCATGAAACGTGGCGCGCGGCTCGGCAGTGGGTTCTCGAGTCGAGAAAGTAATGAAGTTTATTAAAATCGCGCCCGCGGGGAGGCTTGCAAATGCGCTTTGACCTTCGGCAGGAAAACCCGTGGTTTGGAAGATAACGCCGTTGAAGTCGGCGCACGTGTGTCGTCTTGACTTGTTTACAATAACGCGGCGCACAAAGGCCGCCTAATCTCGAATGCGAACCGATCAGTTTATCGTCGTATCTCTAACAATGAGTAGTTACCTTTCCCGATACATACATTACGTACGCTCGATTCTTTTCGTACCCCGATACCGATCGCCGCACGATCGGCGTTAAGCCAGTCGCGACAGATCGAACGAGATATCTCGCTTTTCTACAGATATACAGACAATCAGAAATATTTCGTCAGGTAAGCCAGATCGAGAAAAATGTTTCAGATAAAAGCTGTATGGTTTCGAGGGGGACATAAGGCGGTACAATTGGTTCGACCTGGGATAATATAATCATTTGAAGGTCATGCAAACCTTCAAGTGACCTTCAAGCAACTTAAATTAAGGACACCATCTTATGCCCCCCTCAAGACCATACAACTTTTATCAGAAACATTTTTCTCGATCTGGCTTACCCGACGAGATATTTCCGATTGTCGATAAAAATGGACCATCCTGTATGTGTACGAAATAATACGTTTATTTAAAATGAAATTAGCTCCGCGGGAATTAAGGTTTTCCGGATATTTCTGGCCTCTCTCGAGATACAAAAGTTCGCTTTGGATGGAAACAGCGGGGAAAATATAGCGCTCGAATTACAATGCGTTTAGAATATAAAATGGCGAGCCGAATCTTTCGCGCCGGTTATTTTGGTTATTTCGCTCGTCGCGCGCCGACGGAACTCTATTCCGGATTATACGAGTCATAATTATTCACGAGGCTCGTATTTTACGGTTTAAGGCCGAAACGCAATAGCGTATCACCGTCGCATCGATGGCCATCGCCGGCCCACGGGGCCGGCCTCGTTATCCTGTGTAATTTTATGCAGCGCCTGCATACTTCATGCCGATAAGGCATGGAAGCCTGAAGAAGCCGCCCGCTCGCGATCTATGCATACGGCTATTATTGATAAAAGCGCTCCCAGGCTTTATTTCAAGGACGCGCACACAATGACGAGACGGACGTATCCCAATTTCGCGGCCGAAGTAAAATAAACTCCCGGCGCGCGTTACCTCGCACGCGAGCGAAATCCGCGGGTGAATCCGATCGTTTCTAGCTCGACGGCGGACGCGTAAACTCCGCGAGATTTGTCTATGAAACGCGCGTTTAACGCCGCCCGCAGACGCCACGAGTTCGCTTTTGCATATGCAGATTGCATCGCTTACCGCTCGGGATCGCTGAACGGAGGCTCATTGGAAAATTTGACCATTCGAAATTTGTAGAAGCGACAAGGGGTTCTTATTAACTGCATCAGCTGGACGCCGAGTTTTTGTCGACAGTTTATCGACTTTCGATTGCGAGGGATATTAATCGGCATTTCATTGTTCTAATGTATCCTTACTTATTCATTCATTAGCCGGAATATACGATCTCCCGATTTCGCTCGAAAGACACAACGCAATACATCGACAATATGTATCGATTTCATCCAGCGGCAGATAAAGCGTTATAAATATCGCGAATCTCGAGGATCCGATTGCATGTAAACTGCTAAAATTATTCGATAAACTTTCTAATGTCGCTTTACGTAAGCTACACTTGCATGGTAATTTTTGCTTTGGAATGTCGCATTACCTTATTAAATCTTACATGCACGTAATCCGAGCAACTTTTTATTTATTTTTTTATGTTATAGGTTTCGCCATGGCGTAATAATTTTGTTATTAAGTTCACAAGAACGAACGTTGCAAATTTATCTTTACCTGACGGCAAGGAATCGCGCTGTATTTAAATTAAAACAAATTCACACCCTATTGTTAATTCGTACACTCGGGGGTCACTAAATTTTCCGCAAAAGGAAACAACTGTAACTGTATATTGTAATAAGATACGTTAATTTATATTCCAAATTCGCACCATTTCAAATTCTTTGTAGAATGTACTCATGTAGCAGCTTTAGTTTCTACTTGTTGCGAGGGAAACTGAAGGCGCAAAGTTCCATCTCACCCAATTGGCATTAAATAAATAAACGTTTACAAAAGTAGCAGTTGGTAATTGTAATTTCACGACCTGCGTTACAATCTGTAACAATTATTCCTTATGGCTATGCAAGATGAGAGGCTCTCTCATTGTGTATAGATCGCTTTCATGTATGTATCACACAGACGGAGCGAATTCATTGATTTATTTTTAACATCGACGAGGTACGGCTAAAACGGCTGACCGCATTAAAAAGAGATGCAAAAAGCCATCCTATGCTTGTTGCCGAGAGAGCGGAGAAACGGTTTCTCTGTTTCTATTCTCCTCCCTCTCTCTCCCCTCTTCCGCGCGATATTTTCGTCTCCATCTCGAGTACTCCGCAAGATATGGAATACGATTGACACAAGTCATTTTTCATTTTCTAATTATCAGCAATTTCACCATCGATATCGTCGTCGAATGCAATTTGATTTACCTCGACACTTCCCCGTAATAACATCTCTGTAACAATGTCGAGACCGAGGGGTAAACCGCTGACCAATGCCCGCTAATGCTCAGTGGGCATTACTTTATCTTATTATCTTATTTTATCTTCAAATTCGTCGAATTGGTGAGACGCCCGCCTGAGAGGGAGGGAGGTCCAGGTTCAAACGGTGGCTGAGGTAAATTTTTCGTAATAAGTTAAAAAACTTAAATTACTTAGACACTAACATCCTGTCTTGGCTCTTATGTTCTTTATTCCTTCAAACTGTTATTTCATCTTATAATTCCTTTGTAATGCCCAAACTAATGCCCAAAAAGTGCCTAGTAACGCCCAGTGATGCTGTAAATCTGTACACCACAATGCGGTTTACCCCTCGGTCGAGACATATGTGGTCACGAGATCATCACAAAAAACAACACCAGCAAGTCATTAATATTATTCGTCGTTACAATGTAATTCGTTACGTGTGGGAGATACATATGCGCATGCACACGCGGACACGCACTCACGGTTGTTTCATTTTCCGAGATGAAACAACGTTGAGTCGTAAAAAGAGAGAAGGGAGGAAAGTATTCGGGATTTACTTGGGAGCCGACTTGCGCTTGAAAATGTTTTGTGGACCCGCGCGCTATGCTCTTCTGCATGCGCCGTCGTTTCCCGCCGCTTGTTTCCACTTCTATTAGCTCCCTGATAATCAAGCATTTCGCGAGCGCGAGCTTTCCTCGTTGAAAATGCAACGAGACGAGCGGAGTCGCGGCAGGAAAAAGAGCCGCTCCGCTCGCCGTAACATCAACGAGACGTGCTCGTCGCCCCGCTCTCCCCCCTTCGCAATAATAGCTTTTCGATTGGACGCGAACAGTCGGATGGAAAGCGTTTGATAATTAGTAAAGGATATGAGATCGCGATACGTTCCGTGTGGTCTGTGTGGCGCAAACAATAGAGGAAAGTCCTCTATTATGAGATAGGATCCTAATATGGGATAGCGGGGTTTCTGCCAAATTGATAGGCGTCATCTGTTGGATCTATCATGAATTTATTGCCCTTGGAGTGAAATCTGTTTAGTGAAAAATTCATTGTTAGATCGTGTAATCGTTGCAAAAAGAAGATTTGCGATTGAATTTGGACGTTGAAAACCTATTATCTCATATTAGAGTCCTATCTCTATAATAGAGAACTTTCCTCTATTGTTTGTCTTGTTCCGAGAAGGAAATTTATTTCGAAGAGACCCAACGATTGAAGTTGCACAGAGATAAACGCGCAATGGTATCTGGAATATATGTATTTTTCGTAGGCGAATGACGATGATTTTCGCGCGACACAGACTGCATTTAACGTATGTATGAATGTGCGTATGTATGTGTGTGTGTGTGTGTGTCATGTGTGTACACGACGACTGGAAGTCGCCCGCTTTTAGTTGAACACAACGGCGTTTACTTGCAAATTAATAATTGTACCACTTTTACAATCAGACTAACGCAATCATTTGAATTCCGACTTTGCATGCGCTATTGTTCATACCGGAATCGACGATGAATAATTGATTGGCGATTAGTAGTACATGAACGAAAGAAAGTCGCACGCATCTGGAACACGGCGGGGTCGTGGGTGTCGTCATAATTTAGCAAACGTAAGAATCGCTCGAGACCCGCGAAACGTGACTCCTGTAATTGACACAAAATTACATTGCTATTATGGTACGTCTAGAATTAAGCGGACGCGAAAATTGGGGAGACTCGGTGCATTGGATACGAATTGTAATAACGACACGACATTGGGAATTAAAGAGTCTCGGAGCAACGAGTCGGCACGAGTCGACGACTGACGAGGTCCAGACAAAGTCCTCGGGAATAATCACGGGCGGATCCGGCTGCGGAATTGCGAACCTGACCCGACGCTCGTTTCCGCGCGCGAAATCCTACCGATTTCGAGCGTGCAAAGTGTAAAAAAAGATTAACTTGGTCGCTCGAAGGCCGCGATTACCGTCCTCGTCTCGCGGTGTCGGCGCGAAACCGAGAGATGACACGTGTGTTGGGATATGTGTTTTTAGAAAAAAGTAAGTCTCCAACAGTTAGGAGTGGGAGGAGGGGGCCAAGGGGTCGGACAAGGGGTACTGGCGGTCGAGGAGACGGAAAAAGGAGGCGGCGGTACCGGTGGACAATGGTGGAAGCAGCAACATCCATCCTATCATCACCATTATCACCAACATCATCATCATCAACAACATTATCATCATCAGGGCGGTTATTACACGCAATCGCATACTCACAACCCTGTCACTACCATGAAGCAATCCTACATGCAGGTTAGTCAATCTAGAGAACCCATGCCGATGCTAGAGTTTTACCATAGTATAACTAGTGTGCCCACTCTCTGTTGGTCCATTCCACCATTATTTTGGCATAAAATCCTGTCACACTGTCACACTACCACATATACAACTACCACACATACAACATCCGTCTCATTGGCTCCACCAAAATAATAGCGGATGCGCAGAAAGGATCGCCGCAAAACAAAACAACCCTTACAGCATAGCAAGGCTTCAGCAACATTATAGCAATGTTTCATTGCAAGATTGCAATATTGCCTAAACGCTGCGAAATGTTGCTGCAACGGTAAAACGTCCGTCGTTTTTTTCCGTCGTACAAACGTAATTGTATCAACGTTTTAAAATAATATTGCTACAGCATTGCTAAAGCAATATTGTAAAATAATGTCTCTGTAATATCTATGCAACATTACACTGCAATATGCAATGTGGCAATGTTACGGCAATGTTGCTGCAAACTTCTGTGCTGTATGGGAATGCACAATATACACATTTCAAACATAATTGTATCAATATTGTAAAATAATATTGCCACAACATTACTAAAGAAATATTGTAAAATAATGTTTCTGCAATATCTATGCAACATTACGCTGCAATATGCAATGTTGCAGCAATATTGCTGCAGACTTCTGTGCTGTATGGGAAATGACAGAGAGTGGGCATACTAGTTATACCATGGTTTTACCATACCGCGACTCCTCCCGCGTCCCTCTCACGTCCCGGCTATGAAAAGCGTATGACGCCTAAACGCTGCGTTCTATCTCTTTCTCTCTATCTCTATCTTTCTCTGTTTTTCTCTTCTCCTTCCCCCTCGTCCGTCCACGCCAACGTGCGTGCACAACGGAGATCTCCTCCGTTCGTCGCTCCGCGAGCGATAACGCGAGCGCGGCCCGGCTCACGTGGTGTCCAGGTCGTATTTAATCACCTGTCTTTCCGTTGCAGCTAACATGGGTGTTTCACGATGACGAGGCGCAGATTAACAAGAAACTGCCAAAAGAATTGCTACTCAGGTATGGCGTACTCGCCAACGCGTCTTGCTCGGCTTAACGCGCTTCGGAGCGAGTGGTCCTCCCCCCCCTCCCCCTTGCCGCGATAAGCGACGGCGATACTCAGCGGTTCGGATGACAGAGAGACAAGGGAATTCGAGACACTCCCGCTGTCCCTATTCGATAATGCGCTAAAATAGATCTAATCTCTAGACGCTTTGACCCAATTCACGCGGTGTTTGTATTTCAAGTATACATAAATCCGCGTAGCTGTCCTTTTCACAGGCGTCTCACGCGCTACGCAAGATCGGTACGTAAGACGTGCTAGCTTCGCGTTCGATTCTCACCTCGCGAAAAACCTAAGTCCACACTGTTCCCCCCTCGCGTTCGCAAGGTGTCGTTAAGCTAGTCGCGGGACGCGATAACGCGCGGAGTCGCTCTAACGTATCTCTGTGATTGACAGAATTTTTTCGTACCTCGATGTCGTATCGCTATGCCGTTGTGCCCAAGTAAGCAAAGCCTGGAACGTGTTGGCGCTCGATGGGTCCAATTGGCAGAGGATCGATCTCTTCGATTTTCAACGAGACGTGGAGGTAAATAGAGACATCTCATAGAAGTGAGAGAAGGAAGAAGTGGATTATTTGTCGCGATTAACGCCGAATGGGGGGGGTGGGCACCGTTTGTGCGCAGGGACCAGTAATAGAAAATATCTCGAGGCGTTGCGGCGGATTCCTCAGGCAGCTCTCGCTCAAGGGATGCCAGAGCATCGGCAACAACTCGATGCGCACCCTAGCCCAGTCGTGTCCTAATATCGAGGAGCTCAATTTGAGCCAGTGCAAGAGGATCTCGGACGCGACATGCGCGGCCCTCAGCAGTCATTGCCCCAAGCTCCAGCGGCTGAACCTGGACTCCTGCCCCGAGATAACGGACATGTCCCTGAAGGACCTCGCGGCTGGCTGCCCACTGCTCACTCACATCAATCTCTCGTGGTGCGAGCTGCTCACGGACAACGGGGTCGACGCGCTCGCCAAGGGCTGCCCGGAGCTCCGCAGCTTCCTGAGCAAGGGTTGCCGCCAGCTGACGGATAAGGCCGTCATGTGCTTAGCGCGCTACTGTCCTAATCTCGAAGCGATCAATCTACACGAATGTCGGGTACTTATCTCATTGACTCTCCGAATCCGCAAAGAGGAACAATTGCGCCACGTCTCGGACTACGCCGCGTGGCGGATTTGTCGCCGACGAGATATCGCCGCTCGTGTTTCTTAAAGAGATAAGACTCGCCCGTATCGCTGAAATAAAATTGACATTGTTTTCTTTCTTCGTACCGCGCAAGTTGAGAAAGAAGCTATTTGCGCGCGCAATAATATTTGCAATTTGATTCAATAGCACGTGTTCGCGCGCACAGAGACGTTGAAGACTTTCACCTCTCGATAGAAAGCGAAATATATTGAAGCTAGGAGAAAAATCTCGCTCTAATATCTAAAAAAAATTTCTATGTATTTCGTCGACAACAGGCCTCGTACGAGTAGAGAAAGAAAATTGTTCCCCCAAAGTACATTAAATTTGATTCGTAAACGTGTATCGGAAGGTAGTTCTCTCTGTGAGTTGAAGAAAGGCCCCGGAGTATTGCGTTAGCGAGTAAAAGTCACTTTGGGATCCTTGTTGCAGAATATTACGGACGACGGCGTCAGAGAACTTAGCGAACGGTGTCCACGGCTGCATTACGTTTGCCTGTCGAATTGCCCCAATTTAACGGACGCGACGTTGATTAGCCTGGCACAACACTGTCCACTCCTCAATGTACTCGAGTGCGTCGGGTGCGCCCATTTCACGGATACGGGTTTTCAGGCCCTCGCGAGAGTGAGTTGCTCGGCGAGTCGTTTGAACCGTGAACAGCCGTAAGCAGCGCGAAACTCTATTCGACTTTCGACTTTCAGAACTGCAAGCTGCTCGAGAAGATGGATCTGGAAGAGTGCCTTTTAATCACCGACGCCACCCTCACTCACCTGGCGATGGGTTGCCCGAGACTGGAGAAACTAGTGAGTAGCGATTTCATGTACGGCATCCGCGTTAGGCGATGCACGTTTCGCGTGCGTCGGGGCGCGCATTTTCTCCCAGCGCGCGAAACCTTTACCGAGAGTTTTGCCATTTCCGAGCGCAGAGCCTGTCACACTGTGAGTTGATCACCGACGAAGGCCTCCGGCAAATCGCGCTGTCGCCGTGCGCGGCGGAACACCTAGCCGTCTTAGAGCTGGACAACTGCCCGAACATCTCGGACAACGGTCTGAACCATCTGATGCAGGCCTGTCACAATCTCGAGCGTATCGAACTTTACGACTGCCTACACATTACCAGAGAGGGCATACGTAAACTCAGAGTATTGTCCCGTTTTTACCGTATTCTCCGACGTATTATGTGCGTTACGCGGAAAAAGGGATCCGGCCGCATTTCCCGCGGCGCGTTTATATTTAGCGCGCACCCGAGTGCGTATATCACGCAACTGTAATGCGAACGATAGATCGCGCATTCCGCGAAACGGTGCGCGATCTCGTACAATTACGATACTCCGTCCGGCGGCTGGGCATAATTAATAACCGCTTTTTCCGCTTAACGAGTCGTGTATGTAAAGCACTCGCGACTGCGGCTTACGGTACATTATCATAGAACACAATAGTGTACTGCAGTCTAAAAAGACTTGCCTTCTTCTTCGTTCGCCTCGAGACAAACGGAATAAGTCGCAATCGTACGATTAGAGGTAGAACTCGCGTCGCTGTTGTAATTGATTCGCTGTCGATGTCGATTATTAAAGTTGTGTTATTTGTGCTATTTTTTTAGGCCCATCTACCGAACTTAAAGGTGCACGCGTATTTCGCACCACCGACCCCGCCACCCAGCGCGGGAGCCTCGCGACAACGATACTGTCGGTGCTGCGTCATTCTGTGATTTTGCCTTCAACTCCTAACTCCGAAGTAAAAAAAAAATCGTCCGATATACATACCCACGGGATTATAGTGGACCTTTTATCGGTAGTCGCTGCCTGCGGCGATTATGGGACCTCTCTCTCTCTATCGTGGTTACCGGAGGAGCCGCTCCGGTTGCCCATCACGCATTGATAAGTGAGAACGGGACTCGTTGTCAATTGCAAATCGTTAAATCGATTCAAGCTCCATGCGCAACGAGTGAAGTACGTCACCATCATCAACACAGCCACTGATGCTACTACTGCAATTACCACTATGACCGCTGCTGCTGCTGCTACTGCTGCTGCTGCTATTACTATTACTACTATTACTACCGCTGTTACTACTACACTTATTATTATTATTTCTATTTGTACTCCGTTATCTCGATAGTAAGTGCATCGCCAACTATCTCGGTTTATATCGCGTGCGGGAAGTTAGTCTGCAAAGGAAAGAAATTCTCAGGTTTCCTTAGCGATATTATCGTTTTCTATGATCTTCATTTAGCGTTTTCGTCCACTCGGGGAGAAATTGCGCGCGCGCGCCCGCGCGGTTTTCTGAGCCGCTCGCCGCCGATGCATACATCGGTGCGACGTATTCGAGAGCGAGCGAGCTTATTTTGATTAGCGTTCGGAGACGCGTATTTTCCTAGCGGTACGCGAGCAAGTTTATCGATTTACGTTGCTCGATAAACACGAGATACTTATTTTAAGGTACGCGTAAATGTCTTATAAATATCTTAATAAGCACCCGCGCGCGTACTACCGATGGGGGGGGGGAGCGTAAAAGAAAGCGGTAGTTTTAGGGGGCGACAATGGAGTCGAGCGTAATAACGCGTGCAATCGTATCCAGAGGTCGAATTTCACACACACATCTCGACGTGTAACCGTAGCAGTTTCTCAACGAACACTGCCTATAATGCTATTGATAAACGAGAAAAAAAAGGAGGAAGAAAAAGAAGAAAAAAAATATAAAGACGGTATAGCGACCGCGAATCGAATCTCGTCATAATGTTTAGGGTATTGCTATCGTTTATCGTATAACGTAGACGTATAACGCACCGGCAAAATACGGCTCGGTGAAAGTGTTTCTTCTCGGTGTCTGTTTAAAAGTATTAAACGTATCGCGCGTACGCGACTACCGAGCGAACACCTACGAATTTCTTTCCTTTCGTAAAAAAAAGAAAAAAATGAAAACCCAGAAAAAAGTAGAAAGAGAGAGAGACGGAGAGGAACGCGGTGTCGCGGAATCTTTTCGCGTTAAAGGGCGCACAACTTTCAACGTTTAGCGACGGAAAAAAATTCGACGTATTGTGATCGTGGACACTCGAGACGAGGTGAATAAAAAAAAAACCGGGAGGTGGACGGCCCCGAGTATCGTCTTTGAAGACTCTATCGCCGTTGGCGCGGCTTTATATAGCGGTGGCGCGTGAGAGAGATGCATTTTACAGTCGATTCGCGGGCAGACGGTATTTACGCCCGTGCATCGTACCCTCGAGTACCCGTAAAAAAAAAAAACCGTAAACGCCACTTCTCCTCAACGGCCCGGACATCTGTATTCTATTATTTCTTTTTCCCTGTTTTATTACCTTGTTTTCTTTTTGTTTCTTTTTTAACTTGTCATGGACTAGGAGAGCACAGACTGACAAACGAATCAAAGCGTTAATGTGTTAAACCGATTAACTTTGTGCCGGCGGCGAACAGCGCTGGCGCGTTTTTACTTTTTAAGCCTAGGTTTAAAAAAAAACAAAGAAGAACGGAATGGCGGCAGTATCATGAAGCCACGGACGTATCGCGGAGGGCGGACGGATCGGCGAGGGATCGGCGATGGATCTCCGCGCGCGTTCTTCGCCAACCGATCCCGGATACTCCGGCGACCACAGTGACGATGTGCCCGATGGTGAAGAACAAACGAAACAATCAGAAGAAAAGACATTTAATATCTCCGACCCAGTGCTCGTGGAAGCCCCGGTCGTAAGATCCGGCGGCCACCTCGCTAGATCGGATCACGGTATATGGTTCGATGAAGCAGCCGATTTGTTGCGGGACCCTCGCGGGCGCGTTGAGCGCCTCAGAGAAAAGAAGAAAAAGAAGAAGAGACGAGCGGCTCACAACAGGACGCGAAACGAACGTCGAGAGCGTGGTTTTCCGAGGTCGGGAAACGGGGACCACGGCAAGACGTACGAGCAACCCCTATGGATTACGATTTTCCATTTGATTGTGTACGAAGAAACTCCACAACGCAGTTCCTCCGAGAGAGTTCTCGCGGCGAAACTTGACGGACGGATTTGGGTTTCGAGTCGACATAATTTATTTTGAATATAAAAGACACTACACACATGTAAACGCGCGTGCGCGCGCATACACGACACACACACACACACACACACACGAGACACACATACATTGGCTATATTTTTAGAAGCGTACCCTCGCCAGATTTTTACCGAAGAAGCCGAGGAACGCACTTTGAATGCGTTTCAAACCGGCCGGGTCGAAGACCAGGCGCGCGAAAATTTTAAAAAGCGGTCCAGTTTCGAAGTGCAATATCCGTCAGGCGCGGAACGCGCCTCGTTTTTCCTTCCTCTGTCTTTTGATTCCTTGAATCGCAAAAACCCGGTTTAATATCGCGACTCAGCGCGTCGTCGCGTTAAGCAAAAAGAAGAAAAAAGAAAAAGGGGGGAAAGAAGAAGAAAGAAACACGTGGTATCGATTGTTAATCCTTTGGTAGCGTGTAAGAGACGTACCGCGGTATATATATTGAAGTATATAGCGTGTAACAGGAAGTAACGGATGCGGCAACCTAGTTATATAATGCAACAGTAAATAAATATATAGATAAGATATGTTTTATACGCTGCATGTCATCCCTAGTGGAGTAACGTGATCATTGTAAACGTGTCGTTCGAAGTCAGGTTAATAATTATAAGCGATGTACGATTATACGCGCGCATGACGTAACCCGCGATGATGCAGGACATACACACGGACAAACACACACACATACACACACGCACATCTAATACAGAGACACCGCGCGTTGTCCGCACTCGTGCAAGGCTTTCCGACCTCTCGCGAATTCCGGTACGAGCGTTTGCGTTCCTCCTCCGAGCTCGTCCGCGCGGACCTGGTCCCCCGCGTCGCGGGGCTCACTCGGGAGAGATTTGACCGCGCGAATTCTCCGGGAATGCAGAGGGACCCTTTCCTCCCGAATCTTCAACCGCGCCCCGGGGTGAGACTCACGATGTGAAGCGAGAGAGGGGGAGAAGCGAAAGGGTTCCGCCGCCGGATGCGCGAGCTAAACTCAAAATACAAAGTCAATCGCAGTGCCTGAAATGTTACGAAGCTAATCCGCGTGGTCGTGTCGAGCGCGAGCAGATTGTAACGCTAACGTAGAATGATGTTTGGCTGAACCAAAGTTTTAGCGCGGCGCATCCGGGCGCGTCCGGCGGATGTGATCGGAAAAGGGCGATATCACGCTTGTTGTGTACAACAAACTTCTCGAGATTCATAGTCCGTCGCATCTTATATTTAAAACCATCTCATCATTTTATTATATTTAAGACCGTCTCAAGTATTAACATGTAAACCGATTGGAGAACCCCGCATTGGTTGTAATTGTCCAAGGGCCCTAGCGGAATGTCTTGTACCTTAAGACAAAGTAACGCACAATAACCGTCTTGTGTCTCGAGTCTTAAATGTGGAGACAGCACTCTGTGAAGACACCAGACAGTTATTACTTAAGACTTAAAACATAAAACATTGCCTTAAAAGCACAAGACAGTCATTCTGCCAAGGCCCTGAGATTACTTGAGGGCGGACTGTGAATACTAATCCAGGCAAATTGATTTGGCTGCAAAGTAGAAAATTTTTAGAGACATGAAAAAGCTCTATCGCGCAGCCAGTCGATATGCTCGTTTGTCGACGACAAATGTTACATCGCCCCAAGATTCGCGGAGAGAACGTCGTGAACCGCCGCCAACCCGGGACATCGTCGTCCGTCGTTGATCGCGTTGCGCTTAACGCGCGAGGGACGGCGAGAGGAGCCCTCCGTCGGGCGTCCTCCTCGACTCGAACGTGCGGACGACTCGCTCTCGGACGACCTTCCGGACTTGCGATATCTGTCTGGGTGTCGCCGAGAGAAGCGGAGGGAGAACGAAGTACCGTCGCACACTTTTTCGATGATCGCCACTTACAGTTTAATCAATTGTAATAATCCGCAGTTGTCACCGTTGAATCGTGTTGTAACGGTTAATTAACAAGATAAGAGATCGAAGCGTTGACGCCGCTGAGTGATCGTGCAAGTGTTTGGCTGTGCAAGAGAGAAAGCTGACTAGGTTTGATTTAGGAAGGCTGTGAATAGAGGACGAGACGAGGGCGGGAAGGGAGAAAAGAGTGAGCGAGAGTGCGAGAGCGAGAGAGTAAAGAGTGAAAGGGTTGAGAGGGGGTGCGTGAGAGAGAGAGAGAGAGAGAGATAGAGCGAAAGAGATAGAGATATTAATCGAAGTCAGCGAAAGTATCCCGGTATCCGCTGCGTGTTATCAACGGACTGACGCGGTCAGTCCCGTTAATAGTCGCCACATGCCGAGGACGATTCGGAACGGATCGGGTCGGCCCGTTTATCAATCAGCCCCGTTTATTTTAAGAAATAAACGAAAACTCCAAAAAAAAAACGTTTCCTCGCGTACATACAACACAACGGCATCCATGGTCTACACGTGTCGGCCTACACGTGCCTCCCGACGAACCTCGACGACTTCGGCTATCGAGAGAGGACGTCGTCGAGAAAGAAGAAAAATAACAGGGGGGAAAAAAGCAAGAATAAGATGGAACAGATTCGCGTACGAATACTGTAGCTAATTATATTGACACTTCGCTGCTTCGAGAAGCTGCAGTCTACCATGTATATATTTTCATTAATGTATGTATAATAAAATATATTCGAGACAAAACGCCCTCCCCATGACTGTTGTCCTTCCGCGTTGCGGAGGAGAGTTTGCCCGCAGGGGCGGCAGCTCGCTGGATCCGAGGAACGGACGTCGCTCGCCGTCGGCCAAGGTCGGAGACACGTGACCGGGCTGTGACGTCATCGAGGAAACTGTTTTCCGCGTCCTTGAAAGGAGAGCGGAGTCTACGCTTCCACGGGAGGGGCGGAAATGAATTCCAGCTCCCGAATGGGGTCGCGCGAGGATTATGACGTGGATTTCGCTGTCGATACTATGGAAAATCATCTCGGTCTCGATACGAAAGGGCTTGAGAGACATAGCGTACAATTATATAATTGTAATTTAGCTTTTTGTTACGAGCGGAAAGACCGAAGGATAACGAAACGCTGGCTGATCTTGTAATGTAATACAATCGAAGTAATTACGATGGAAATTCTCTCAAGTGTGTCAAGTTCGAAGCAGGAGCGAAACGAGCGAAACCAATAAGCGTGTATCGTGATTTTTATATCTAATACAATTTCTTTATTAATTTCGACCGCGTGACTTTTGACAAACTGCATAATTCCACTTACAGACGCGAAAAGTACGAACAAAGTGACTTAAGAAATAATTAAATTAAATCAATATTTTACCAATGAAATAAAAATTAATATTCAATTCCCCCGAGGGTGTATTTTCAATATCAACACAATATTAATTAAATTAAATTAATTTGATATTAAAATATTCGCGCACATACGTAAAATTGCGCGTTTCGGACGACTCCAGACGACTCGTCTTATCGACGGCGGAGTCTTCCACGTGTGGCTTGCGAGGACGAGCGTGGTGTCTCTAGGTGGTACCGATCGTAACCGCAGCCTTAGGACCTGAGCAGAATGGCTGTCTTGTACTCTTAAGACAATGTTTTGTTGAAGAGAATTATAATTATTACGAATACTTTAAACGGCACTCCCGAACGCGATGGGTACCTTTGGTTGTCCCGTCTTTAGGGTCTGTACTCTCTAAAAATTAATCAGTGCATCATTACTGTAAATCAGTGAATATTCATTGTTTTCAGTAATAAACCACTGAGTGATTTTTAGAGGGTAACCCTTCAGGGTACTTAAGCCCCTCCACCACGGCAAGGTAGTACCCGAGGAGGGGATTATCAACAAGAAACTGTGCAATTACATATGTGTACATTTAGAAAAATGAATATTGAGTCAACATAAATTAGTGTTGCTATTTAATGCACGACGTGAGAGAGATTCATCCAATTGAAAGATTAATTCACACTCTCGATCTTGGGACAAAATCAATTTTCTCGGAATTTATCACTAATGCCTCATGAACTAATAATCCGAGATGAGCCATTCTTATCTCGTTAGAAGCGCTGAAATCTTAGCTTTCCAACGAGACCAGGATCATCTTCCTACGATTTTTCTGTGCGAAGTTATTGACGATTATATCGACTCACGATCTTAATCCTCATTCAGAAGCAGCAGACGATACGCGGCGTCTCGCGCGGTCTCTGGCGCGGCGGTGTTTACTACTGAACACCTGTGCCTCGTATGTTTTTATGCCAGTTTTTTAGGAACGTAGTACGCCCGCGTACTACTCGCGTAAAATTCGCGCGGTTTTCTTTCATGAATGGTGCGCGCGCGCCCGATTTTTAAAACGCTATAACTCGGCGAAAAATCGACGTAGCGACACGAACCAAAAACCAATCTTCTTCGTTTTGCATCCCGCAGATGTCTACACTGAATACGTATGCCCTTATCATAAAGTTCACACACGGCAATGGAATAAAAAATTAAAAGGCTGAAATATAAATTATACGTATAACATTATCGGCAGTGTCAGAAGACGCATAGCCAAATAGTTCCAAAAGTAAAAATGGGCGTAAAGGCGCGCAAAACAGTCTCTTGAAACGGTATCATGTAAAACGCCGGCGTGGCCGCTCTCAGGTCTCTCTCTGTTATGTACAAGTCTATGACTATATGGTTCGCCGTCCAGCCGGCGATCTGTCTTGTCTACGTTGCCCGTGGCCGCGTTCACGGTTGGCGATATCGGAAAGTGGGTGTTGCTTCCGTCGGGACCGCCAGCCGTCCGTCAGCCTGTGTGACCGAGGGTATCGCGCCACGTTTAACGGAATCGTGAGACAGCGGAGTCTCGGCGGGTCGCTCTTCGGGGAAGTCATGCGTGAGTACAACTCGGCGCTCGGCCGCCCGGAGGGCCGCGGCGACGGCTGTCGGACGCCGAAGGGTTACACGGGTCGTCCACGTATATACGATCGATAATACTAACCGTTCGCAAGACATACCGGACGGACGGACGGTACCAAGTGTCACTTGACAAACGGGTCTCGCCTGCAATTACGGACGTTCGCGCGCCCCGAATGCGCCTCTTCCCCTCTCGATACGCGTGCCCTTTCGCGACCCGTACGCGTCGCGAATATGTCTTCTGTCCGTTCAATCGAGGGCCACTCGCCCAGCGTCCGATAAGAACCGAGGCGGTTCTTATCAGTAGAAGAGACTGCCAGATTGTTGTTCATTATTTTACTTAATACTTGATTGCGACTTATTATTAGAACACTGTTTTAGGACAGTATTGATTGTTTACTGTGCTGGTAAAAATTTTGAATGTCAAGGGTCGTCTACAATGCGTGGAGTAAGCCTGGAGTAAGGAAACAAATCAATTTTATTTCTTACTTCTACTTCAGCTCTTACGCTTACTCTCGGCGAATCAAAACGCTATCGGTTAGTATTACAAATATTTTCAAAATTGTGTCTGCATTTTAGCTTCCTTACACCAAAAACTAAAGGTTCTCTCGCTCCTTATGCCAGGCTTACTCCACGCATTGTAGACGACGCATTAGCTTTTGGTGCAAGGAAGCTAAAATAGACATAATTTTTAAAATATTTGTAACTGACCGTGCGCGAGGGCGTTCTGATTTACCGAGAGTAAGCGTAAGAGCCAAAAAAGTCCTTACTCCAGGTTTGCTCCTTGCATTGTAGACGACGCATTAGTGACAAGCGTTACGAGTTAATCGACTTGTTCGTTGAAAACCGAATGTACAATTGTTAAGATTGTTCACTGGTATTTGGTGCGATATACTTCAAAGTTAGCGAGAGTCTGTACTGAACGCAGTGATTTTTGCTGCAGGTTGATCTCGACTCTCGAAAGGCTAAGTCTGCCCTCTGTCAAGATGATAGGGGGTCTATTCGTTTACAACCATAAGGGGGAGGTGCTGATCTCCCGAGTGTACCGGGATGACATTGGCCGCAATGCGGTGGACGCATTCCGCGTCAACGTCATCCACGCCCGGCAGCAGGTACGCTCGCCTGTGACCAACATTGCCAGAACGTCGTTTTTCCATATAAAGCGCGCCAACATCTGGCTAGCCGCTGTCACCAAGCAAAATGTTAACGCAGCTATGGTATTCGAGCTGCTGCTGAAGATCATAGACGTCATGCAGTCATATTTCGGCAAGATTTCAGAAGAGAACATTAAGAACAACTTCGTGCTTATTTACGAGCTGCTCGATGGTCAGTATTGAAGTGCCGGTTGATATTTCAATCACTTATAAAGCGTACAGGGCCTCTCCTCGGAACTTAATCGTTTCTTCTTTTCCTTTTGCAGAGATACTTGACTTTGGATATCCGCAGAACTGTGATACGGGAGTGCTGAAGACGTTTATCACTCAACAAGGCGTGAAATCGGCCACCAAGGAAGAGCAGGCTCAAATAACATCGCAAGTCACCGGTCAGATCGGATGGAGGCGAGAGGGTATCAAGTACAGGCGCAATGAGCTCTTCTTGGATGTACTCGAATATGTGAATCTACTAATGAGCCCTCAGGGTCAGGTTCTCAGCGCACACGTTGCTGGAAAGGTAAATTTTGTGCGGAAGATAAAATTGATTTTCTAGGACTTCCGCAGGTGTCTAACAGAAACATCTTCTCCAGGTGGTGATGAAATCTTATCTGTCTGGTATGCCGGAATGCAAGTTTGGGATTAACGATAAGATCGTGATGGAGGCTAAGGGCATGAAGGGCGGTGGCAGTTTGGGTGGCGGCGGTGACGATCCCACAGGCGCTAGATCCGGCAAACCGGTTGTCGTTATTGATGACTGCCAATTCCATCAGTGCGTTAAGCTTAGCAAATTCGAGACCGAGCATTCCATTAGTTTTATACCGCCGGATGGTGAATTCGAACTGATGAGGTGAGACACGACCGCGAGATTAATCGTGGTGTAATATAATCCAAGGGTATAAAAAAATTGTTCTTCGTAGATATCGTACCACAAAGGATATATCATTGCCCTTCCGCGTGATACCGTTAGTGCGCGAGGTGGGCCGAACGAAAATGGAAGTTAAGGCGGTTCTGAAATCAAACTTCAAGCCCTCGTTGCTGGGGCAGAAAATAGAGGTGCGCGTGCCGACGCCGCTAAATACCGCCGGCGTGCAGCTGATATGCTTGAAGGGTAAGGCGAAGTACAAGGCATCGGAGAACGCGATTGTGTGGAAGATCAAGCGCATGGCCGGCATGAAGGAGACGCAGCTGTCCGCCGAGATCGATCTGCTTGAGACGGACACGAAGAAGAAATGGACGAGGCCGCCGATCTCGATGAATTTCGAGGTGCCGTTCGCGCCGTCCGGCTTCAAAGTGCGCTACTTGAAAGTTTTCGAGTCAAAGTTGAATTACTCCGATCACGACGTGATAAAATGGGTTCGTTACATAGGGCGCAGCGGCCTGTACGAGACGCGGTGTTAATGACTTGGAATCTTCGTTGCGGAGGCGTAAATAATTGTAAAGAAGTAATCTCAATGCGGAAGTTATGATTACGAGTATTGATACTGGCTATTTCTCGTTATTATTTCATTGTAGCGCATATTCGAAGCAACGATCTGAAATCATTCGGATAGTCAATTCCGAATCGTGTACGATACGTAGCGATGGATAATGTATCGAGAGAGGAATTCCATTGTCAGCACAAAATTTCTGTATAACAGCAGAAGAACTGTTTTGTTTTGTATATTATATAGCTTGCTAGCAAGGGAGTGACATTCATCTTCGCTTCTTAGAAGAAGATATTACGTTGGAAGACAATTTTCCGAATGCAAAAATAAAAATAGGTTCGAACTTGTGTTTAAGCGAATATCATGATAATTAGTACCAGGCAGATTATTTCTTTTGTGCCAATTTTTTGCGTTGTCCATTCTTTTTTTCCATATCGATTCCTAACCATGTTACATCACGCGAGATGAATGGTATGAGATACAAGTTAGATTTTATTAATATTTTAAATTGAAAGAATTGTTTATATATATATGCACATTTACTCAAACCATCTAATGAGATTCATATTTTTTTGCTTCGTTACTGTGCCGAGACCATTACATCACGAGATTTTAGTATTACATGATTTCAAGTTAAATAATTGAAGCACCTCGATTCGCCTCTGGAATTAGTGCTGCCATTAGGATGATCTATATTCAAGAAGTATATATATATATATATATTTGTAGGATTACTATACGCGTAATATATGTTTTTTTTTCCAGAGCACAGGATGAATTTCTGTATTATATATCTGTATTTATCTACAGGGTGTCCCTGAATGGTCTGTACAAACTTTTGGAATAAGTTTCAGGGACCTAAACAAGCAGAAATGTCCCATGAACATGGGGTCGGAAACGCTTGTTTCTGGAGTTACGACATTTCGAAGTTTCCTACAATGGCTAGAGAAATTATCAAGTCAAATCGCATAGTTCATGGGACATTTCTGCTTGTTTAGGTCCCTGGGACTTATTCCAAAAGTTTGTACAGACCATTCAGGGACGCCCTGTATATATACGCGAATTTTAATTATTCATTTCTTGCGTAATGATATGTGGAGTTACGGCCTGGTAACGGAGTTTGAGCGAAACTGAACAAATCTGTATGCTACGGATCATTCGGTGTGAACGTGCGATGCGCTCAATGAAATGTAGAATGCTATTAATCTGTTATCCGTGCATGAGAATAAGAGTAGAAAGAAGCATTGATCGATTGTACGAGCGTGATTGATGTGGTCTCTCTAAAAGAACGCTCGAATGCGTAATGAAATATATATGTGTAAAATAAAAACGATCGTGGGTTAAATTTCATTATCCCGCTCTTCGAATTGTCCCCGCGCGACAAAATTAATTTCGAAACTCGTAAAGTCAATCGACTGAAATGAAATGTAATTTAAAATTACACTAGTGAATCGAGGACCACAGGTTTTTTCGAGTGAAGCCACTTTGAGATAACGAGGATATTTGGGAGAATAAACGAGGCGTAAATAATCTTTAATCGGTACGATGATTATATACAAACTTGAGACTCTCGACAAGGTATTTCCTAAGGCAATCGGCGAGATACAAATCTGATTATACCTTGAAAAGGAATAGAAGGGAGTTGCCGAAAACGCCCTTGAAACCTTGACGACTCCAAGATGCGCGCCACCCGTTCCAATCGAAATATCGAATGATATATCGATACGCGACCTCTCGTTCGTAGTAAGTCAAATATTTCAAACTGCCGATGCGCGTTCAAAGGTTCTAAAGACGCTAAAAGCGCTGATTTTTAACAGAAAATTCCCCGACTCCCGGAATAGACGAATAACTCGAATAGCGACGGTTTAATTCACGTTTTCTCTCGTTTCCGTCGATTTCCCGCGACTCGAACGCGAGCTCTCGATTCGGATAATCGCGCCTGGGCAGTGCGATATTTTCGACTCGGTACCGATTCGTGGCGTACTTCTCGGCGAGGAAGCTCGTCGTCGGGAGATCCTCGGACGTTTCGCGCTCGGAAGCTGGCGGTTGGCGCGCGCGGCGGGAAAGCGCTTTGAATTTCCGCGAGCCCTCTCGTCTCCACGTCCGCCGCCCTGGCGCGTCGTCGCGCCCGCGACGCGACGGCACGGGGCAGAGCGCGATGACTCCTGCCTCGGAGCGGCGCATGCGGTCCACGCTCGCCTCGCTCCGCTCCGCTCCGTGCGCGTACTACGTATACGTGTCGCACGTATACCTGTCATGGATTCCGAGGATCGACCGCGGCCGCCGCGGGCACGCGTGATCGCGCGATTCCCTGCGTGAGAGTGTCGCGCAACGCACGCAGCACGTACGCACGCACGCACGCACGCACGCCGAGGCGACGGACGGTGTCCGACGTGCACGAGGAAGCGCAACCGGACGAGACTGTCGGCCGCCGCCGCCGCCGTCGTCGTCGTGGACCAGGCGTCGTCGTCGCCGATCATGAGCGCCGCGGTACCGTCGCGCGGAGGAAGGTGCCGTCGCCGCCGCTGGTGAACGAGCTGCTGGGAGAGACGCCCGGGAGAGAGACGCGCCGACGCGACGCCGCGCACCGGGAAGCGCGGCGTGCCGAAATGCTCGCCCTCGTCGGCGACGGGCCTTCTGTTCTCGTTCGGAGCACGGACCCCGTGAGTATCTCCCTCTGCTCTCTTTTCTTCCTTCTTGCCCTCCTTCCGCGCGTTGTCGAGCAATTTCGCGACGCGCCTCCGTCGTCCTCGGATTAACAGGGGGCCGCGGGGAGAATCGGGTGCCGCGCGCCTACGACGCACGGGGGAGGCGACGAGCGTGTGTGTGGCGTCGCGACGTCGCCGTCGCGGCTTCGCCCGTCCGCGTGGCGGCTTTATGGTCGCCGCTATTTTTAGCGCGTACCGTAAACCCGCGCCGCCGCCCGCGAGGGTGAAATCTCGCCGCTTTGTCCGCCGCGGTGCACGTGCGGCGATCATATGGACGGGCCACGTCCGTCTCCCGCGGACGGTTCCGGAGCGGAGGACGTACCCGCGACGGCGGCGTGGACTTTTGGCGGGAACGCCGTCGGATCGCCGAGCGCGAAAATCGCTCGGCGACGTCGATCGATCCGCGGAGAACAATCGAGCTCCGTCAATCGCGTCTCCGCGGCTCCGACTCCGCTTCGATACGCACTTCCGTCCGTCGGGTCGGACGTTTTCAACTTTAAAAGCGTTCGCGGTTCTCGCCTAAGTGGCGAGCTAAGCGCGCGCCCGGCTTTCACGAGCGTACATTAAACGGGCCTCTATTTAAAGATCCGTTCGTGCGGATTGAATTCAATCCGCGCGCGTTCTCCGGTTAAAAAGTGCGCGACTCGCCACCGCGTCGACGCGCGGGGCACAATTGGCGGCGATTATTTTTCCGCGAGTTTTACTTTATCGCGAATAAATAGGGCCTTATCTTTCAAGGGCGGGCGTGTATTTTTGAAAGATAATTCCCGCTGCCGGGAAAAGTCGGAGTCAGCTGCTCGCGCTTTAGAAAAGCCTCGCGTGTAAGTTGGATATCTTATCGCCCGTGTAATAAATTTGGCTTTCGAGACAGGTGCTGTATGAAAAATAGGCGTTGTGTAAATTGACGCGTTCTTGTTGCTCCGCGAGCGGATCGATCCGGTAAATTAAGTCCGCAAACTTCTGTCACGGTGCTACGCGAAATAATCATCGTTTTTTTTTCAAAAATATCCGTATATATTTATTCTTTATTATTAAACGTTGCGTTGGGTTTTGTATATTCGCAGGCGAACGTGCATTTCGCATTAGTCCTGTTTATACCATAGAGAAAAGTCCCCTATTATGAGATAGGATCCTAATACGGGACAGCGGGGTTTCCGTTAAGTTAATAGGCATCGTCAATCGATCCCACCACCATGGATTTATTGCCCTTGGAGCGAAATCTGTTTAGTGGAAAAGTAATTGTTAGATTGTGTAATCGTTGCGAAAATAGATTTGCGATTGAATTCGGGTGTTGAAAACCTGCCGTCTCGTATTAGAAACCTATCTCATAACAGGGGACTTTCCTCCCTTAATGTAAATTGACTTTTATCGCGGTTCAACTTATTTGTATCTCTTTCTAACTCTCGGAAACGGAGGGAATTGGGAGACTAAAAGATTAAAATTAATCTCCATTGGTAGAAATGAAAGGTATTCGCTCAAAAGTGATTCGGTCTTTAAATCTATCTCAATCGCGAATAAACGTAGAGATCGTTCGACGTTTAACCTAGGCTTGGTCTACGCTTACATTCCCTTTTCCCTCCCCGCCAATTTCCCGCGTTGCAATTTGGTACTGGTTAATTTCTTTAATCTGAGAAATCTCCGTCCTCGCCCTTTCATAACGTAAACGTCATGGATGTTAACACGGACGCGACGTAATCTCCTCTAACAGCAGCCGCGTTGCAGATACGTCCCTTAAGGGCTGAAAGACCCTCGGCGAAGGATAATATTTTCAGAACACAAGGTTAATCCCTTGGTCTTACTGCCTTGACTTATTCAAGCAAGAACTCTTTTCTCGAGTCTTCTCGCCGCGCGAAGACCGTCGGATCGATGCGAAGGATGGCTGGATATGAGAAATTTATTTAACATTTTCGTGCTTTCGCGCGACAAGTCTCTAAATTCCCTTAGAGAGTGAATGAAACAAGTCTTGAATGTACCAAATTCAATCACTTTTGAACAAACGAACGAGTTCAACGGCACACGCGGTATCGATATACAATTATCGATGTAGTATTATCGTGTCCCGTCACACTGGACTCGCTATCTCTAGCCTATCGTAATCAGCTGTTATCAAGAGCGACGCGCTACACGTTTCCTGCCGCCTGGGACTCTAAGACGAGAACGTTCGAAGATGATAGTAACAACTAGCATAACTAGGAACATCGCTTTAGAATGTCTCGGGCTCTCAACTAATTGTTGGGAAACTGACGTTCACTCTCGAATATAATGACGCGTGAAAAACAATGCGCTCGGCTGTTATGACACCGTCTACCCAATATTTCGATATTTTCTAGCAACGCAAAACACTTTTTCCTTGAATTTTAACAAAGCCGATGTTTTACAGCGGACTTATAAGATGAAACGTTTCCAATATATTTAACAGCTACTATACAGGGTGTACAAAAACCACCGGATATATCCTTTTAATTATTTAATTATTTAAAAACTATTATAGCCTCAATATTTCTGTATTAGAATTTTCGACTTGAAATTTTCTAAAGAATTTATGATTGAAAGGATATCCGGTGGTTTTAGTACACCCTGCATAAAGCAATAAGAAGAAACGCCGCAGCTGGTTAAATCATCAAAATTCTAAAAGAGCCACGAGCGTACAATTTACCATTGGAAAACTATTTTATTGCAATACTTCCTCGACTTTCTTCATTTTCCATTCCGCCCCACCCAGCATGAGAAGTTACGCGAAATTTCTCAATAGATTGGCAAGGGATGATTTATCATATGCGCGTGAAATCCTCTGCCGTGATTAATGAAAGGAAATTCGCCGCGGAGCGACGCCCGAAATTCGATCGACAGTTTCCCCCGGTCGATTTCTTCGGGTTTTTCTCTTTCCTCAGCTCGCACGCGCGTTCCTTAATACCGCGCCCCATAAACGTCAAACTGCGACGATCCCCGTAGCGCGGCGGTTTCGCTTTCGGAAGACGTGCGCAACATATGGGCGCCTGGAGATCGATCGTTCTAAACGTAGTCGTGCGATTTTCCGGTTAACGATGTCGGCACGAGGCTGACGGCGCGGCGGCCCAAAGAATTCTACGTTCATTCCGAAAGCGCCGATGGGAGGAATATATCGCACTTAGTGATCCTCTTTATTTACCGCGCCGCTATTGACATCGTTAGATTTTATTCATTGCCTCGGCGCGCTCTTTCTCATTCACGTCATTTTTGACACGTTAGATTTTATTCCGCGCAGAGGGGAGCATCGGCGGAGGGAAAGGCATTTCTGCGAGGCTTTTGTGGTACAGATGAATTTAATCAAGCCGGGGGAAGGGGGGAGGGAAGCGAGTCTGTGCTTTTCATGCAACACACATGCGACGTATTCTTTCTTAACGTGGGATCCTTTTTTTTTCACACAGGTTTTATACGCTGTCATTTTTTTAATGCAATGCTTTAATCATCTTTAGTGTTAATTTAACTTGAAAGGCACGGTCTGCGAGTCATAAGTCGCCGGGATTACGCCGGCGATGCACGCGGCGCGGCTAAGGATTACGAGTGACAGGTGTAATCCGCAGTGTGTATTAACAGGCGCATTTAATTTTGCTCATACGAGAGAACGGACGGTCCGGGCGAA